TCTATGAGTATGAGATGGCTAACTTCTCTAAAGCTCTCATGAATATGAGATTTGTTCAGGACCAAAATGAACACAAGCGTATGAACCGGAATATATTAGGATTAGTGATGTGTGTTGCTTATTGTCTCGGTTTACTACTGCGATGAACATTCAAGATTTTATATTCACCGCGTCACCAAGTAAATCCGATAAGTATTCACTAGGGTAGGTTCAAGTCCAAAAGACACCTCTCCCGATGCATCTCTTGTCCGCCTGTACTCTCAAATTATTCCTGATTTTTCATTCATGTGGGGGATTGTTGGAAATTATATATTATAGTATAAAATATTGTAATATATAATTTTAATAATTGAATGAAAAATAGTGTTAACCATATTTCTTAGAAAGGTTATGTTATTTAGGTGCATTCCCTTGTTAAATGATGTATACTTATAGATGAAAAGTAACATCACTTTAACAAGGAGTACTTGGGTTCTTTATAAACTCATGAAACTATCATCATTAATATAGAAATTAGAGTTAATTTTTACTCTTGAGAAATAGGGTTTCCCCACTTTATTTCTCTCATGCTTCATGTGTCAAATTCCAAGTCGTGTCTTGAGAGTACGGAATATATGAAGTTCGCCAGAGTCCGAAGATTGAAGTGCTTTGACTTCAGATTATAGATTGTTGAATCCTGGGAGACAAACGCCTACCAAACTACAAGTGCAAGAGTAGGGCGAAATTCTGTCTTTAGGACATTGCATTTATGCAAGCCTCAATCTCCAAGTTTGTTAGTATTTCTAACTTTCTCCCTAGTTGTTTATATTAATCTCATATATAATTGATGTTGTGATTTTCTTTATGATTATTATCATTGGAATTATATTTGTTATTTTTCATATTTTCTAATATTGCTCCAACAGTGCTTTCCCAGTGCATTAACAATGCATGAAATGCGAACAGCCTGTTTTGGATTAATTTTAGGTGCTAGAGTGCGACATTTCTACAAACAAGCTGTGATCAAGTCAAATGTGGAGCAAGTGGAAATTAGGTGGGGTGGAATCTGCTTTCGAAGGACTCTCATCTCCTTGGCACCAAAGTAGAAAGATCGTTGAACCATGTTTGACTGGTTACTGGATGCGTATGAGCCATCAGAATGATCAATCACATCTTCATATTCATGATGAGCACATGTAATTCTTGGTGGATCTCAAGTGAACAAGAGCTCTCTCTCCCACACTGGTAGAATAGACGGTGCATGTTCGCCTCTTGCCATCTCCGCAATGGCGTTCAGGAACAGATGCAGTCCAGGTGCATCACACATTGTGTGGTTTAGGCGCAATGCAAGTATGAAACCTCCACATGTAAGATGGGTCACCTGCATATTGCAAAAATTAGTTACTAGGCTTTTTTCTTAATCATCATATTCGTGGTAGTTCACAATTCTTTAGAAGGAAAAAAGAAAAAAAAAATCTAAATTAGGTGATCTAATTAGGAAACAAAAATTTCATAAAAATTAGGAATAAAATTCAAGAAAGATGGAGTCTCTTTGGAAGAGTCTCGTGCCTGTGGTAATTTATTACTTGAAAGAGTCTTTAAATATAGAGGAATTTAGACAAAACACTTCAAGAAGAAAAAAAAATTTAGACAAAAGAAGAAGAGAACGACATGACGACAGACAAAAACCCTAGAAGAAGAACGGCAAAGGAAAGCCCAGACGCTAAAGGTGACATGAGACTGGTAAAAAGAACCTAGGACCTAATCAGGCAGATACCATGTAGAAATATAATTTCCTCGATTCGTTGTGTATACAAATTTTGCAATATATAGGGTTAAACATAAGGACTGTTGAAAAAAATTAGTTTAAAAAAATAATGAAAATCGTCTCATTATATTTTCTTTCCAAAACCACCTAATGAATTTTCTTTAATCATAAGAACAAAGAAGCATGGTAGTATCATAGATAAGTTCAAGTTTGGATGTGGTGGTAGCATGATAAATTTTCGGTTATGAAAAGGATTGCCAATTTTATGAAAAAAGTTAAAAAACCACCGAACTTCGACTTATTTACAATATTGTTAGCGCTTTCTTGTTTATGCCTTTATTTGTTATTAAAAATTTCATATGTTGCCCATTGAACTAATTTCTTACAAAAAAATCTCCAACATGTGTATGCGATCTTAACGCAAAAAACACTACTCTTACCCTTAACCTACTTAAATTTTTTTTGTAAAGAATTAATATGGCAATGACCAAATATGAATACAAAATACTAATTAACATGTAATTAATAATTAATTGATTCACTTGATCCATTACCAAAGGATAATCAATAATTCCATCAGAGTTTGGAAAATTAAATAAGAACTCCTCTAATAGTGGACAAGGAGGTAGAATTTTGTCTCCTAGTTGCTCAAGTGTGACATCAGCAAAAACCTTGATGAACAAGATACCTTAACCATTGCAATCGACCCTAAGCTTTATGTTAGGCCCTTCCCTAAGCCTCCCAGCTAAAGGGTAGTAATACAGTAGTGCCCTACTTAAGGCTTCCCTAATCACCTTAACGGGATCATGATTTTCTTTCAGTGAAGGGTTATTCTTGTAACACATTATGACTAGAACCTAAAACCTCAATCTTATATTGCGTTATGCAGATGCTCTAGGGTTCCCCCAATCTTTCGTCCAAGTTTCCACTCCAGTTGTGATTCTTTTCTTTTCCATTAAAAAAATGTGGTTAGAAAGAAACGTGTAAATCACACCTCAGATTCATGTATATACATTAATACTGAATTTCATTTCAACATCAGAAAACTGTATACAAACAGAGATATGAGGACAGGTATTCGGTAAAAACCTTCGATAGAAATCAAAGGAAAAAATGCCAACATTGTATCTGCCTCACATTACAGCTATCACTGTTCTAAGACATCAGACGTTTGCTATAAAAACGAAACAATACTTGATTACTCAAAGATGAGTAAGAATTCGTACTCAAAATTTCTCTAAATTATTCATTGTCAATTTATAGAACTTCATGTTTATAATTAAAACCGTTCATATTATAAATCACCCTATAAGGATCACATCTGCAAAAACTCAATTACAACTAAAGTCGTTTAGTCTTTAAATTGCTTAAAAACAAATGAACGGTATCATAAAAGTATTACGAACTGTCTATGTATTTTCTACAATAGATTGACTAAACGGCCTTACTTTTAATTTATTTTTTTGCACATATGATCTTTACAGTGTGATTCATAGTATGAACAATTCTGATTATAAGCACAAAGCTCTGTGATTAAAATACTAAGAATTTTGAGTAAGAGTTTATACTAATATTTGAGTAGCCAAGTATTGTTCATAAAAACGTTGTTATATCATGTTATCACAGGAGAATAATGTGAAACATTATTATTCATTTTGACACGTCTTCAAATGATTACGTTCTTCTTCATTATACTATAGAGACTGATGTGATATGTTGATTACTCATTTCTCTAATGATAAATGGTCGTTATGATGAAGAAAACCCAGGCTCCATTATAAAATTAACCGATAACATAGGGAGCACTTAATCACTTATAAGTACATACAAAATCCTTTTTTATCTGAATTACAAAACCCTTTTTTATCTGATGTATAATTCATACTTTCAATACGCATCTTCAATACGTATGACGAATTTCAAGCTTAGCCCAAGTGGCATGGAGCACATGCAAGTGTTGGACTTCACACATGGAATAATCTGCTCTGATACTATGACAAAAGTTGAAGTTCCACTATAAAACTAATTGGCAATATGAGAAGTAACTCAATTATTTATAAATACATGCAAGGTCATTCCTTTACGCGATATACTCTCAACATTTCACTAAAGCAAATATGTACAACCACAAAATGGACCAAATAATTCACTTGACAAAGTAGGACTCACTCAAGACAATATTATGTTTCTTAAAAATAGGACTCGAGTACTCAAGACAATATTATGTTTGTTAAAATGGAAATGGAGCTTCTGATTACACCCAACTTTTATCTCTTCTAACCCAACAAACTCTTTTTATTCTATAAGATTTTAAAAACTTAACATCTACTCTCCACACGATATATCTGTTAAAATGGAAATCAAGCTTCTGATTACCCCTTTCTAGTCCTTCTCTATCGTACACGATATATCTGCTCATCCAACAACAACCCTTCCTAATCCTTCTTTATCATTTTTTTTAGGTTGTTTTATAGACATCCCGCAATGTTATGAATCCACCTCACATCCAAAAATTTCCTCAAAAATTCCAGCTTTGTCCCTCATAGTTCTGAAGCCACCCCACCCCAAAAACAAAAAGAAACACCAAACATCTCCGTTTGACGAGCACCCATCCCAAAACCCCATCAACGTAGTATCTCCGATCTCTCTCCTCCTCTCTCCTTAACACCCTGTGAGTCCCAACACCCAAACTCACCAAGCTCGTTTCCAAAGAAAATACAAAAGAATGTAATAGTCCTTCATTTCAATTAAGCAAGAAAATCCCCAAATTCTAGGGGTGTATACTCGCAGAGAATTGTAGAAACACGCACTTATAAAATGAAAATTAGAAGTGCAGAACTACATATTAAATCAACAAGCACTAATTGTCTTGGCAATTGATACCATATATCAATGACAGAGAATTCATATGAACGAGAATATGAACTTTAGAAAAGGTGGTGCCATGGTGAGTGGATGTGTGTGAGGTTGTTGCCTGCCGGCAAATAATAGGATGGTTGGATTTTCTTTTTCTCACCTTAATTCAAATAGGGATAAAAGAGAAAGTTCACTTGACAAATTTTAAGTGTGAGATGTCTTCATAAGATTGTGGGGTGTTAATTGAAGGCCCAAACACAGAAAATACAAAGCAACATATGAGCTTCCAAAACAACAGCAAAAGAGAAGCCCAACCAGATAGCTGAGCCCAATATGGAAAAACACACAAGAAAACCCTAAACTCCTGGATCCTCTGCCGGCAAAAACACACAAGAAAAACACAAAATAGAAGACATGGTATTAGAAGAGACCAAAACCAACAAATCATTCATACACCCAATTCACAAAACGAACATCTGTAAATTTTACAGCAACCTATTTCCAGAAATTCATAATATCAAGAAACACTTTATAGCATACCAAATTCTACTACCCCATAAATTTTACAGCAACCTATTTCCAGAAATTGAAATCTAATTACACAAACTAAAATTGAAATCTGGACCTAGCAAAACATTCAGAAAGAGATGTGAAGGGACCTTCAGAAATGAGGAAACAGAGAGGAATTCCGACGGAGGGTGGAGTGGAGAAGAAGCAGATGGGTGGGTAGTGGCTGCTGTCTTCCTTCGTCTTTGTCTTCTTCTAACGGAGTGGGAGAGAAATCAGTTTCACAAGGTTTCTCAAATATAATTCATAATCGAACATCTGTGAGAAAGTGAATCTACAAACACTTCAGTTTCATAGCAAATGCTAGTAGACATCTTTTTCGACAAAAGTATAAAATTAGGTTCAAATGATCGAAAAACGAGTTTAAACCAACTTTACTACTTTCAAAAATCACTCTTTCTTTCATATACAGTGTGCACACATACACAGATCACAGATACAAACTTTCATAAAATCGTCGATATGGAATCCTAATAGACCTTACCACTTTGAGAAGGAGCCGTCTTATCTGAAGTTTCTGAATACCGATGAGCTTCTGCAACACTATGTCACTGATCATTGACAAAACCTCCACTGTAATTGCCTGTTCGGATATCAAATGAAAATGAAGATCACCAAAAAAAATCCCAATTAACAAACTTGTTACACTCATATTACTCAGCTCGAAAAAACCAATTAACTACTAATCACAATTAAGGAATACGAGCTGAAAATACATCATCTTTGAAAAAACCTAGATGAGAAAGCAATCTAGACATACAAAAAAAAAAATTCAATCTTTAGGGGTTTCCTCAACTTTCTCGGGATCCAAACAGGGTTTTAATATAGAAAACAGAGGAAATCAAGATATCCCAGAATAAAAGTGAGACTGATAATTTGATGAAAGGCATAGAATTTGACCTTGGTTCTGGGTGATGTTGAAGCTGAAGCAAGTACTGCTGCAACCCCTTCTTTGCAATCGACCCTATCAGAATTTCTTCGTCACAAAATAGTGGAAGAACGTATTGGTCATTGTAACACTCACCAAATAAAACCCTAATTATCATATGTTGAACAATTAAAGCAAAAAGCAAAACATTGAGAGAGATAGATGTGAAGGGACCTTCAGAATCAAAGAAACGGCGAGAATTCTGACGGAGGTTGGAGTGGAGGAGGAGCAGATAAGTGTGTAGTTGTTAGGATTCTAGTCCATCTCAGCTATTACCTTTTGTTAAATGCCTTGTCTAGTAGTGGAATGGTAGTACGTAGTGACTCATCAATAGTGCACCTAACCTTTTGTCTGTAGTGTCTGTGGTGGGTATACAATCCCCTTGTGTTCCCCTTTTGAGATATGAATGAAAAAGCACTTTTATAATTTCTCTGTATTTCCTTTCTCTGCCATTCTGTCTTTGGGTGCTGCTGGAACCTACCATTTGGTATCCAGAGCCCTGGTGTGCATCCATGGGCAAAAGTAAGGCATCTGTCACGGTCGCCGACGTGACCGAGGATGAACTGGACCGTGAGTTTCAGCACCACCAAATCCTCACTCAGCTGCAAGATTTTCAAGAGTCTTTTTCCATGGTGAACCTCCGCCAGGATGACCTCCAACAAGCCATCGCCGATCTCTCGGCCCACCGGATTCGTCAAGACCAGGTACAACAGACAATTCTTGACGAGATTCGAGCCCTAAAAACAAAACCCCAACCCAGCCCCCAAATCCCAATCGGTTCTATCCCCATCTCTCTCGGACCCACACCCTTCTCCGCCGTCCATACTCCCATTCCCCCACCCACATGGGGTTTCTCCACGTCCCCAACAGTAACCGTAACCCACCCTCCGGCTCCGCATATGGTCGCAGGTCCCTCGTCCCTTCCCTTCACACCCCTCATATCTACCCCCACCCACTCAGTAAGCCACACCTCCACCTCCCGTTACCTTCCCCCACCCTCCTCTGGCCCCAAACCCTCTTCCTTCACCCACGAAACTTACTCAGGACACCCACCACCACCCTCTTCTCCGCCATTCTCTAGCCCCAAAACCTTCAAGATTGACCTTCCTCGTTTTTTTGGGGACGACCCATACGGGTGGCTGGCCATGGCAGAGGAATTCTTAGACTATCACGAGATCTCCGAGCACCGTCGCGTCACAGTAGCCGGCCTACACCTGAGCGGCGATGCGGCCCATTGGCTCCGTTGGTACAAAATGAGGTTCCCTCTAT